TATTATACACAAAATATGTGGATTTCAAACACTGAAGTGGCTTTAATAATTTCGTTGGCTTTTGGGGAAGTACGTTGACTCAACAAATCATCATTTAAAAGTAGGATAAGTAAGACAGAAAAACATTCATCTATTGGGATTTGAGTAACTTTTACGATCATTCCTTCTGTCTTCTGAATGATTTTACCTGTGAGGATGATATTTCCGTGTAGCTTTTTCCATGTCTGTACTGCACGCGATTGCGTTCCTTCGTTTTACACGATGTTTTTTTTAATAACTGAAACGTGAAAACATCATGTGCCTCAACAACGTATTGATCACTTCACTCGTGTGCATCTTACGAATTCATACTCATCATATGAATATACTGTCTGGATTTCAGGATAACAAGGAAGGCGTTTCAGTCTATTTATTTTGATTGCTTTCTGTTCTCTCGCACTGTTCGTACGTGCCGATAAGCACCTGTAGAAGTAGCTCTCTGTTACACTCGGGTGCATGGGTAAGATTCGTCTGAATTCGTAACTTCTTCATTAGCCTTTCTGATTCTGTGACATTCAGGTGAACATGATGTTCATTCAATCTTTCAGAGAGAAAAAGAAACTTTCAACCCCCTCCTATCTCGATGAAGATGAAGAAAACAGCCGTGTTTCGATACCTATGTCTGTTGTTGATGAAAGTTACTTTTCACATTTTAACCAAATCATTCTAATCCGAGCTTGTTGTTGTTGTGATAAAGCAAAATTGATAGATATTCCAATTGCTTGTCGCGTTCATGTCCACAAGTACGCCTTATTATGCATCCTGTGATCTTGGGGTGATTCTATAGTTCGTGAGTGGATGACCGATGATTCCTACTTTAGCGAAACAAATTTGGTCATAAACCCGCGGCTGGTAAGCCATGATCATTGAATGAATGTTTGAGATTGACGTAGCCAGTCTTACACATTGTTCAATCTATCTCTTAGTAGACGTTTAGAAGCTTTACCTTTTTGTCTAACCATTATGTCCCCCATCCACTCACCCTGGATTCTTTCCATCCCAATCGCCGCTATCCCCTACAATAAAACGGTATCTTCGTCAACCGGACACCGGAAACACCGTGACGTATAGTTTGTCTCACAACTGATGACAGCATTGCGCTATCCACTCAGATCATATTTGGTGGGCAAATCACAGGTAGGTTCACTACGGTGGAGAAATTTTGATGTGCCAAATTTTGTTCATTTTTGAAGATTACAGCCTATTGTCTCGGTATATGTTTACCCTAAACTTCGAAAATCGCGAATACACTACCGATTTGATCGGTATTGCAGTAGCAGAGTTTCTCCACAGCGTAAGCACATAGGACAATGTCTTGTTTGTTGCTCAGACGTTTGCGAGTAAAGTGTTCAGGCAGAAATGATACTAATCACTTCTAGCTAGGAGCATCGATGTTCGCTATCAAACGCGATGGGCTTTTTGCAAAAACCGATCTCTCATGACCGATATTTTGGCAACAAGAAATTACTATTCACCAACTCCGATTTAACAACATTCGTAACTCGTAAACCACCGAGAGCAACCATCCATCACCCTGATTAGGTAATAGTGCTAAGAATGTTAATCAGTACACACTGTTCTGGAAATCCAATTCCTTTTTCTTTTGCGTCAGCACACCTATTACAACTTTGTGTCTATAGGCATGTGAACGTGACCGGCAACCAATAACTCATACTTTGATTTTCTTACGTTTCAGATTTTCTTGCGAAGTTATGTGCTTCCTCAATTGCAACTTCGACGTTCCTCTGTGAAATCCATCGCTCCCAAAGGAGATAACAGCATTTGTTCCCCTTTGCATTTGGATACCACGAAGAATACAACTGTCACACTTGTGGCCAGTCCACGAGGCACGGTAAGGTGGTTACAGCCACGTGCAAAAGCACCTTGTATCCGAGAGCATTATTTGTGCGATTTTTTGTGGTCAGCTATATATTATATATATATATATATATATATATATATATCAGCTATATATTCTCTTGAATCGTGTTTATATCCTATGCACATGTAAACAGACGTTTAAGACACGCGACGTCATATGCGGCACCGTAAGAACTAAAGTGCGCGTTCATTACGGATTCAGAATGAACGTGTTTTGCGCTTTCGAGCATTCTATCTGGGACTCGTTTTTCTTTTCTTATCGCAACCAACTGGTGGGAGCATCGTGCGTTCAAATCTCATCAAGATCGATACCCGTAGCACCCAGTTCGGTAACAAAGCTAGCTGGTGCGCTTTGAGTACACATAGAATTATATTTTATTCCCGGCAGTTGGCCATCCGGAAACTGTCACGTTGCTTACCACGCATCTTGGATATGGGATACACTGATTGAGTTACAAAGATCCGGATCAAGTCTGGTTCCATCGTTGAGATCAATGCGATGCAATAGAACGAGAGCAAAAAGTGAATCGAGAATTCCTTTCCTCCTCACATTTTGCGTAATGGATCTTTCTAGGTCATTTAGGCAAATGTGAATGAAAGAACGTGTAGCTGCTCGACCCATAGCGCCACACAGCTAGTGAATACAACCCAACAGGGTTTGCAAAATCTCTTAGATCTGACCTCGTAACCGGGCGAGTAGTAGCCGTTGCTAATCTGTTCAGTGCCTTCAATCCGGGAGAAACACTGATTATGGTTACATCAAGTACCTACGTGACGCAATTGACAAATTAATTATAGTAATCAATTAAGAGAGGCCATTTGTCATTCCATCCACTAGTGGTTCCTCTAATGGAAAGATCTATTCCCTGCAACGCTTACTGTTGATAAAATTAATAATGACGGTGATCATATTACCGACGATCACACCAATCCGAACAGGATCTTGTTCCTTTTGTCACTTCGAGCCGCAACGTTTCGGTTGCCTATTCTCATTTGCTGAGCTGTCAATTCTCGTGACCGTGGGTTTTCTCCCTTATGCTCTTTATCACGCCAGCATAAATACAAAATAAATAACCATCATTCTAAATGCACGCGTCGTGGGAGTGCATTTGTGTATGCCATTGTCGCACAGCTGTTTTTCATTGCATTGCTCGTTACTGTGCCTTCCTCGGATGTAGGAACGAGATGAATTTGCGGATCGGTGCTCGATCGAACATCACTGCGTGTCCTGATTGGAGAAGTTAAAATCTAGTTTAAATATAAAGCAGACATTCACTCTTAATTGGGGCTTTGTGAGAAATTTGAAGAACGTGATGAAATACTTAATAGGCACGTCTCCTGATCGAAGCATTTGCCATGGGAGTTGTCTAAATCCTGTCTTCCCAATCACCTTTCGAAATTGGTTGCCTGCGAATACAATACACGTATCCCTTCTGAATTCGTACAAAACGCGCACTTCAACCTTCCTGCTTTCGCACTTTCATGTAAACGCTGTTGATGGATATCCACCCGTACTGAAACTGATTAGAAAATCACTGGACATAACTGAGGTCAACCGGGAATGGTATACTCAAGTCAAGATTTGTTTCGTCCCCCCCCCCAAACANTGAAAATTTTCGTACGATTATTTAATAGACGACCACGTTGCACGGTGTTCGTGTATGCGCAGAAGTGAGTTGTAGTTGAGAGCGCCTAATTGACATAGTGTTTTCATGAGTTCACGATGTGCACAGTACTCTTGATCACGAGTAATGCTGTTTTCAAACCTATCAGAAGGCCGACAATGTCTGATAACGAACACATCTGTCTTTGCCACTGTGTCAGGGCAAAATTTAAAAGCATCTGAAGAACAAGGTGAAAATTTTTTTCAAAGTCAGACAGTAGGAAAGTACATGGGCGCTGTGTACTCTGTTTGGGAGAATGCAAACGATCACCATTTTGACTGATATCCTGAGCCTGTAGACAGTATATCATGAAGTTGTAGAAAAACTTCTATATGCCATGAAGGTATACCGCACCACATGTCAGGTTAGGCCAGTTATCCTCGTTTCGTATCGCAAGCAATCATCACGTGAATCGGTTTGTCGCGGTTATTTCTTCTCCCGCTCCGTAAGTGATGCAACCGCTGCATCGCAGGTTTTGATCATTTCCGTCATAAACAGTGTTTATGTTACGAATGTGGACGACCATCTTTCAAGCTTTACCTTCATGCACAATCCTCTGATAATGCTCACTTGTGGCTCTGAAGTTACACCTTCATCCCACTGACGAAACCTAACCACCACTAGGTTCGATTGATTTCAGATTCATTTCACTATCCCCATTCATGTTTGCTTACAAAAAGCCGCTATAAATGAACTTTTGAAACCGGCCCTCAAAGAATCAATGCAGTTCAGTACTCGTTTTCATCTTAATGCTGAAGTTTTATATTGGTGCAATTGGATAAACATGTGTGACACGGAGGCGTTGGTATACTTTTCTGATATCTTAGTCAATGAAACATTGAAAACAACGTCCGGTAGGCGAAACACGTTGTTTTTGATCAATCATAAATTGGTCAATACAATTATGGTAGGGTTATTTGTAATGTACGATCTGGTTTTCATCGGATCAAACTACGTACAGTGTCGTGTGTGTTTGCATGCTCTCTCTCTCTCGGTTTGGTCGTTTAAGCATCCCCCGGGGTACAATACTGGGTTTATTTATCCGGGGCCATGGCGAAACTAAAGCACGAACTAATGATTTTTGATTGCACAATGTGTGTGTGAGGAGGGTTTTCAATGTTTGGATGGCGATCACCTGACCTGTTCATAGCATAATACAGCGGAGTCGTTCTGATAGCGGTGAATGCGTGTGATAGATTGTGCGGAACGCCTGATCAACATTTACCAAGTGACGTGTCTTCAGTGTGTTACCAAATCTCACTTTTCATTGTCCTAGCTTCACTGTATCTCATTAGCAGTGATTGTGTCCGCGTCTTCCCTCTGGCAACTGTCCCATTGTCAGTAGTTTGATGCGCTCAAAACTATAGATTCAACATCACAAATAACCCATATATAATTCCGGTGAACGTTTGATGAGTAATCGAAAACCGGATTATTTCGCCTACCAGACTTCAAAGCTGTTTTACTGTAGAATAGTTCACAATTCTAGCTGAAATTCACATTAACGTGGGTCCCGTTCTGGTCTTGATTGTAGGACACCGAAACAACAAGAACCACTAAGGAGCACCCCGACCAGCAAGTTCGCGCAGAAGAGATAGTGGAGGCCGGTGAGTATTTACTATTACCAGCGCCTAATTCGATAAATTTTGTAACCCACTTTCCTCCATGCTACTCCCACCCCATTGATTCAATTTGGGCATCATTCTAAGTTTATGTGTCTTACTCTTCGTGATATCTGATTGGTTAGTCGTGTGCGCATGATCTCCACAGGGGCATATTTTCGTCAATGCACTTTTGTCATACTGTGCCTTGTGTGGATGACGGTCACACGCATGACTAAGCCCCCAACACTGATCATTTTGCTCTAAACGTGTCAGTGCACCAATGTGTCACGGGTTCACAAGGGATAAACGGGTTAGGGATAGATATATCAACAAACGAGATCAGCTCACTTGGGTCGCCTTCTGACTGCGCCAAACTGTTGCGATTGTCGAATCTCTGTACATGATGGAATTCACCGTACAATGGTTGTCGAATCTGTCCCATTCCGGGTGTGAGTTGAAATTCATGTCGATCTCGTGGACAATGTAAAAAACCTGACGATTTCCGTCACACACGTGCAATTGCATCGTGCTCCGGTCTCTGATTAGCTTAAAGTAACAGTTGGGCTGACGGATTCACACTCTGGACAAACTCCACCCATCGCTCCATCGCTCTTCAATTCACGCTTCATTTGCTGTGTACACGATGTGTTAACGTGAGTAGATTCCGGTATGTAGATCGCGTGTTGCGCACGATATGGGAAACCTATCGGTTCTGTAAACGGAACTAAGACGAACGTTGCACATACCCGACTACTTGAGTGCATGTGGCGAAAAGAAATGTAGAATTGTCTGTATCGCGTCTTAGTGTTTAAAATGCTCGTCCCCCCCCCCTGTTTGGATTCTAGATATTTGTTCTTTATTCCAGTCCATCGTTCTTGTTACGTTTTCAGTCCCTACCACCCTGGTTACTGAAACCAACCCCCGTCCCACAAACCAGACAATCAATAACACAACCACATCAACGTCTACAATTCCAGCGAACAAGAATCTTCAACAATATTTAGATGCGAAGGCTAAGGTGAGTTTGGGGCAAGTATTGTGGGCATCTATCGCTTAGATGGAAAGCAACGTCATAAGGGGCATCCGTTGGATTACAAAAGCTGTATGCATGTAATTCTGTTCAGCTGTCTTTCTTCTCTGCCTATATCTTTTTGGTTTCACATGTTTGTTCGTTTGTTTCCTTCATATCAAACAGTATTTTTCTATGCGAGGGTCGTGCTTTCGATGCGATTACTATAGCTCTCATTCCTTTGGTTATCTATTAATGAATGATATAATCACTTGATATGTTTTCAATCAGACGTAGTAGTTTACCTCAGAAAGGTTTAATATTACGTTTAATCTTGATCGATACACGTGCGAAGATCGAACCGGTTTTAGATCTGGTCAAGACTATATATTGAGTTCCAGCAGTTAAATGACAGCTCTGGTATCCGATTTTCCAACCGATAGCATAAACTTGCGCGTAAACTAAGGTTGCAAAGAAATTGAGAAGATACACGAACACTACCGTTTACGACACATGATTATATCGCTCAGCGTCTCTAACCGCTGATTAGAAGGATTCCGAAATCCCCATTTTTGGGTCCCAACGCAACCTTTATGATCGTGTCTTGGTTTTTATACCTTCATGCAAGGTCTTAGTTACACCACTCTTAGCCATTTTCCACCCACTAGCTTCCTGGGTAAACATTGCGTGTCGTGGCAACCTATTTGATGACATTCACAACGTGCGCCAGGCAATGCAATTTATGGAGTTTGAACACTACCTCCAGTGGAAGACGACCACGACCATCCAAGACTGTGGCTCACCTCAGCTTTGTTTTATCCGGTTACCCCAAACGCACACTCGTGCAATTTGTGTGGTGCTATCGTAATATGGACGTCCGAAGATGCTAAACTCGTGATCGTTCCATGCAAATCTCCCATATCTGCTGTTCGTGACACTAATGCTATCTATTAGCTGTCTTTTCTCTCGTCTGAGTACAGTTGGAACGA